CTTGGGTCCTTGCGCTTGCGAGGCAAATGACGGAACCACTGAGCTAAATGCCCAGCCAGAGGAAATTATATTTTTAACAATATGATTATTATAGAAGACTAAATTTATTATTTAAATTATATCAAACACTGAGGTTTCTTAATTTTCTTTGTATTTCTTACAATTTTTGGACTTGATATATTTAATCTATTTTATTGCTGTTTTTAAAAAAGAACTGTAATGAGAGAATGGTTCTAATGTATGTGGGCAGTTGGAATCAATTTAGTTCCACAGGTAGGAATTTTAAAGGATTCTAAGAATTATATAGAAAATGTTAAGAATCCTAAAATCTATAATGGCTTCATAACATAATTCTGCAGGCACTAGGGCTGCAGGAAACTCCACTTTAATGAGCTATGATAAATGGAGAAAGATTAATTTAGCTATGCCTAATGTCACTATATAGAGTGATATAATTTTTATATCCTGCTCTTTCTCAGAGAATTCAGTGGACTTACCTATCTAAGACTAAGTTATCAAAGGAAATCAGAATTACTTGCCTTTGTGAGTTGGATGCAATTAGAGAGAAGCAGGAAACATGCAATAACTTAAATCCAGGCAAAAATAATTAGGTTTTGTAAATTTACAGTTAGTGATGACTAACTAGTGAAAGGGTAAAAGCCGAAGTGGCTTTATAGGCTTTGGCATCATAGGCTTCAGAGAATGATATAATCTTAAAAGATCTTAAAAAACAAAGTCTTGCTTTATTGAATAAGAAAGAAATGAATAAGAAAGTCAAAATGATGTATTCAGAAGTTGTATGAGCAGTTTCTTTTGTTCTTTGATATAGTGTTACCACGAACAAAGCTAAGGCCATGGAATTCTACACAGCTCATATCCACCCTCTTATAGCACTTGTAGTAGCATATTACTGGTCCCCAAATATGTCCACATCTTAATTCCAGGAACCTGTGAATGTGTCATTTTACATAGGATAAATTAGAAATTCTGAAATGGAGAGATTATCTTGGATTATAAAGATACACCAATATAATCACTTGGGTCTTTATAATGGAGTGAGGGAAGCAGGAGAGCCAGAAAGCAATTGGGTACAAGAGAGACCTAACTAGCCACTGCTAGTTTTGCAGATAAAAGACGCAAAAGCACAAGGAATGTGGACATTTCTAGAAGCAAGATAAAGAATGAAAAATGTTCTCCCCTAAAGTTTTTTTTTTTATCTGATATATAATGGGATGGTGAGATTTTTCATGAGTGAATCTATATTTATACTAAGATATAGATAGATAGATAGATACATATATTGATACTAAGAATTGAGTCATCAAGAGTAATACAAACATAAAATTGAAAGTTTGAAAGGATGTTCTGCATAAAATCATTCATTTTCTGAAAAAAACATATTTTATGTGATTTGGCTATGAAGAAGTCAAGATTGCATGGGAAGCCCCTGTCCACTGCTAGAAACCTGCTCTGTTGCCACACTGAATCTGCACATCTGGGCAATGTCCAGAAAGGAATACAATCTTGCAGACCCTCAATTTGAAACCAGTGAGATCCATGTCGTAAATTACTAAGTGTGAAAACTTAGTAAAGAAGCAGTAAAAATTAATACAACATCTATTATGTTTCTTCCTCAATTAAGTCATGCTAAATATTTTCATAAAGTAACCTATGCTCTTCCAGTTTAAAAACCACTAGGCTTCTCCTATTAGTACAGATGAAAGTTTGGATCTGTTCAGAGTCAAGTTTAGTAGTATGGTTATGATTATACTGATAAAATGATTTACATTCCAAACAAAGAGACTGGTAATACTAGTTGAAGGAAGCAGGCTAAAATGCAAAGGGAAACACGTTCAATTAATATTCAGTTAGAAGATTTTCTCAGCCTTCATTAATTTGTCTAAGAAATGACACTAGCAATCTCCTTTAAATATCCCCATGGATAGAAAGTCAATGAAATCAATGTGCCATTTTTGGACTAAACTATCATTTAATTGTTCAGTAGGAGACTGAGATGTCTTGACTCCTGGAGATGTTACAACCATAAACTGAAAGTTCTTTTATTGTCCTTCCAGCTAATGACCAATTTACCATCACAAATCATTTACTGAACACTTTTGCCGTGTGACATAGTACAAAGCTTAAAATAGGAGAAAGTGCCATGCTTTCACCCAGAAAATGGTGTTGTACTAACACTGCCATTGTTACATTAGGAAGAGCACAGCCCATTCATAAGTTTGGTTATTGTGAAGTGAAGGAAGTCAAGATAAATATAATGAGCATGAGGCTGAAAATAGACTTCTACACCAAATAGCTAGTACTTAAAGAGTAAGTGACGTTCAGAATATGCATTTGAGGCCGGGGATTTAGCTCAGTGGTTTCTCTGCCTGCTGCAGAACCGCAAGGACCTGATACCAAAAAAAAAAAAAAGAAAAAAAAAGAATATGCATTTGACAGTATTCTGTTTTCTACCATTTTCCATCCTAGTCTTAAATCAACCAAAAGAAAATATCCACTCAAAATGAATTCAAAAAATTAAGTGATTGTCTATGTTGATCTTTTCCAAAATGAGGCTTTTTACATTGTTTCTGAGAAACACGTAATCATTGGTGGGTTTATTAATGAGAAATGAAAGATTATTCACAACCCCAAATTTGACTTCATGGTCCCACATGGGGAAGGCAGAAATTTATGACATCACTGAGTTTTAATATAAAGAACCATTATGAGATGGTGGGAAATTTCCGTAGGAAATTTTAATTCTTTTTCATTTTCTATTTCAATAATAAAGTACTGGATTCATGAAGGAAAAAGGCAAATTCTTTGAAAGTTTATTAGTTGTATTATGATAGTCTCCAGGGAAATAACTCTGATGATTCCATCAGGAATGGAACAGAAAAATGGCCTATTAACTCATCATACCTTCCCTCAGAGTGTAGCTTTATGGCTGAAAAAACCTACGTCATGCTCTCTGTTATTATACACCCATAAGAAGAGTAAAGGGAGACTAACTTCTATGAAAAGATAAGGCCATTCATTAGAGATTACTCCTCTAGGCAGAACCTATAAATCTGCTTACACTTTTTGGGTAATGAATAGTGACTATGGTCTATAATAGGCTTTGTTTTGACAAAACAAAAAGTTGACCTTAACAAATTTTCTTATTGGCTACTGAGCAGCTCCACAAAGATGATTCTTTTTTACACTTGATAAATTCAAGTACAATTTTATCTTCCTCTTCTTATCTCACTACCATTAATTCATCTTTCTCTTTTACTTGGTTACTTTCTTCTCTCTCTCTCCTCTCTCTGTCTCTCTCTCCCTCTTTCTCTCTCTCTTCCATTTTCTCACTTCTGTTTCTGTGGTCATCAGATTCAGAATCCCGGTGTTAGTTTTGGCTGATCACGTTTCCTTGCCCATCAAAAAAATTATGTTTTCCAAAGATGATGGAAAGCAGAGAAAGAAAACAAAAGTAAAGGTAATAAAAATGGAAGGTAAATATATAGGACTATTCACCTTTCTTAGAAATTAGGTATCAGAATTTATTAGTTGAAGACATAAAAAGTGTCACTATTTCCTATCATTTTTTTCTTTATCACAATTTTCAGTATAATTTAAGGTTTGGACTTAATAAAACTATTTCCTTAGCTTTGAGCACTTAAGCTTTCAGCATAATTGACACCTGGTTTTACTAGCTGTAAGAATATAGAATCATATTTGCTGCTGTTAGAATTTTTGAAATTAGTCAAAAATCAACTCATTTAAAATATGCTGTTGAACATTCAGAGAATTGACTGAATTGGCTATATATTATGAAGACATCATCTATAAATGGCAACCTTAGTGCTTAAAAGATTCAACACAAGTTGGGGAGTTCATTTCATAAATGAGAAAAAGGTTGGCAGAGAGACAAACTGGTTCTTTTTGCTTCAAGAATTAGATGAGGCATTGAACAATTATATATCCCAGAAAACCCAAGACTTGCTTAATGAACAAAGGGCAATTACTTTGCAAATATCCCTGTCTAGTGGAATTTACCTTGGGGTTGAATAGATTGCATTATGAAACTTGTCCAAGAGGGACTTTTCAATATGAATTTGAATATACTTTTCTGCTTGCACTTTCCAAAAGAACAGTATAATAAGTATAAATTAAATTGGATGCAACTAATAACAATAGTTCCTTTCAAGTCAGTGTACCACAGAACCAGTGATGATGAAAAAACCATTCTGCCAGAGGTCAGGAGACCAGGGTTGTAGTCCTGTTTAAGGATCTATGTGATCCTAGAGAAGTGGACTTCTTTCTCTAGGCATCAGTGTCCTAATTGGAAGAGTGAAATGTTTGGATAAAATAGAATAAGACAGACTTCTGCTTTTGATATTCTGTGGAGCGATTATGAGTTCTAGCAGCTTAGGTTTATATGCAATAAGGCTATCTGATCTGTAATTGCCTCTCTCAAACAGAACAAATTCCTTTATTTTTATAAAAGGGCCACTGAAACAGAAGAGCTGTTCTTATTTTGTAAATTAACAAGAATTAATCTGGTGTTTATATAAAGCGTATGCAAAGTAAAATAGTAAAAGAAAAACCCTATAACATGAAAGATATAGTCTATGAAATATAAAATGAAAATAATATAGAATTTAAGGGGTATTTTAAGTCAAAATCTAAAATGACACTACAAATAAATATTTTTTTAATATCCTGATCCCTGATCTTCAGACATCTGAAATAGTGAGAACACTTATATTACCCCTTATTCCTAGGAAATTCCCATTTCTTATACCATAAACTTCATCTTTGCATTCAATACTTTGTGCACTGTCCTCAGACACACAAGACATTTGATTCTTTCTATATAGGGCACATCTCTTGTGTTAATGTCTCATAATATCTTAGAGTTGCCACTGATGAGATACTGAATTTACAATAGGAGAAAGGGAATTGAAAAAATCATTTTGAAAATGTATCCATTTTTCCCTTCAGTCATTCATTAATTCATTCAATAAGTTAACATTTATTGAACACTTGGGATATATAAGATGCTATGATAGATGTTGTGGGGGATAAAGAAAAATTTACAGCCTGGAAGGGCAGAATGACATGACACAATTACTATAAGTGTGGATCACCTGTATGTTGCCAATAGTGTTTGAGACATCATGGGAGTGTAACATAGGAAGTGTTATTTAATGAGTGATCATACTGGACAATTTCACAGTCTCTTAAATGGGCATCTGGATTGTGGAATGCTGTAAAAAGAAAAAAAGATTGTCCTTATTAACAAGAAGAAAGCACCCTACATGGGTGCCAGACTTCTTTTTTGTTTCTGCCATCAAATGACCCATTGTGATCAAATAAACATTCTCTTCATTTCTTCTCATGAACACTTACTCTGAATTTATAAAATAATTAACATTTAAAATGTCTTAGCAAAAGAAAGAAAGAAATGCCCAATTGCAAGAAAATTACCATGAAACATTTTAAAAAGGACATCAACATTTATGTTGGAAACAACAAACAAAACACATTGTTGCCATCCCCTTGTTCACATTCAGGTGACCCCCAAATTATCATTTAAAAATCATTTAACTTGTATTTCTTGGGGTGACTCACCTTGGTCCTGATTCCGATGACGTTTCCAGTATAATAAGATTGAGATTAAGACCAGGAGAATTACCAGGGAAACTATGCTTAACAATAATGGAATTGAAAACCAAAAGCCTGTGGACAGTGAAAGGAGGAAAAAAAATGGAGTCACAAGAGGAAGTGGTAGAGGTAAAAAATGATAAAGCAACAGTTATGATGACTTTTTACTAGAGTTGAGCTAAAGTTATCCTTCAATACATACCTCATGAAGTCTATATTCATGACTTTATATGATTTTAATAACATTTAGGTAATATCAATAATGGCTGGCATGTTTTATTCCAGTACTGCATCATAAGTCTTCACATTTAGTCCTCAAAATATTCCAAAAGCTGGATATTATTATCTCTCATCCAAGTGCTCACTAACCAGTCTGGACACTGCTTCGCTTCCACAGCTTCTGAGGTCAGAGGAGACCTGGCACATTCACAGTGGTCTAGACAGGAATACCATATAATTATATATGGTATTATAATTATACTAGTATAATTATAATTCCTGGCAGTAGACAGCTATTGTTATCTAACAGATAAAAATAAAGTAAAACTGAGCCTCCAAGCTAAGTGAGCACAAAAATCAGTGTAGTAAGCAGGGAGTTGTGCGGCACTCCTGTAATCCCATGCCAAGGCAGGAGGATTGCTGTGCATCTGAGGCCAGCTGGGGTACACAGTGAGTTCAAGGCCAGCCTGAACTACATAATGAAACCCTGTCTCAAAAAAAACCCAAAAAAAACCCAAAGTGAAAATAGAAGGAAAAAATGGAAACAGAGCTTTTGTACATAGGGAGGGGAGGGGAGTTCAGAGGAGGGGAGATTAATAAAACAAGAAGCAAAACAAACAAAAGTCAGCGTAATAAATAGAAGGGCCAAGATTTAGTCAAAAGTCTGTTTGCCTCCATAGCACATGGGCTTTGTCGCACTCTCCATTAAGGTGATACATTTATTGAAGAAGTTTGAGAATATACTTGAGAAGTAAAAAGGAAAAAAAATCATTAATCTCATGATCTCAACCCTCAGAAATAACTCATCTCAACATTTTTATTGCATTTCTGAAAATCTATGTCTTTGTTATTACATTTCTTTCGTTAAATCCAACTTGGATGAAATATCAGCTCCTCGGCATCACTTTGTAACACACAGGCAAAGGAAAGACTTCCTGATTTGGAAGTGCCCAGAATCTTCTCCATAATGAAATTTATGTTTTTTTATAATTGATTTTATTGGTGTGTTTTAGATATGCACGATACCTTTCACCATATGGAATTTGTACCTGATATATCTTGATTCTTTTTCCCCCGCTTTGCCTCCCCTCCTTTCAACTCTTCCATAATGAAATTTGTCACAACCCACAATTTAACTGAAAACCTCAGACAGGGATCTGTTTAATTTCTGCAGTTTCAGTACTTTCCATCATGCTTTTAGCATGAAAGATTTTTGTAAATGCTCACAGAATAACCAAACATTATACAAATGTTATTAAACAGTATATGTGATATGAATAAAATTTACCATTCCTAGAAAAGAAGGTATGTTCCTCTTCAGGTTCTTGTTTTTCAGGGAAATTTACTTTTTTGCTTTGTATAAACCCATGGATGTCTTCACAAATACCCAAATCTAACACAGCAATCTTTACTGACTAAATTTATCTAAATACTCACTTTCTGGTTAGTCTGTTTTCAGGGACCCCTAAAAATGACTACAGGAGATGTTTCTCAGAGGCCACTACACCAATGAGGCATTTTCCATTTTATTGTTTTAAAATGACCTCCCCTCCAAAGAGCAGTGATATTTTAAGGATCCTTATTATTGAGTGCTTCATCCAGAGTTAGTGCCTCAAATTTACATAAGGAAAGAAAATTGTGGCTGTCACTAAAATATCTTATCTCTAAAATCACTGCTCCCTTTTCTCTTTCATGAATAATTCTTTTATCTTCTGTTAGTGAGGGTCAGAGATAGCAGCTTAAAAGGAAACACAAAGGAGTAAAGAGGAACTTGAATGGGAGGTAGCTTGTTTTGAAAGGAGAGATGAAGACACATCAGAGCAGGCTTTTCCTAATGTAGATTACGCAGAGATTTCATCACAGATGTATGTCCTCCAGAAAACTTGACTCCTCTCAGGTTGAACTGATGCCTCCCTCTCCTACCTGTAGATTTGCCACCATGCGCCATGGCTTTTTTATGGAAGCATTTAACATGCAGTTTTACAACTGCCCAGACACTTTTCTGTATTCCCTAGTAGACTAGAAGTTCTGTGAGTGCAGGAACTCTTCATTTCTGTATTTTTTGTGCTCAACCCAAAGTCTGGTATAAAATAGACACTCAATAAATCTTAGCAGAATGAAAGAAACAAATAAATGAGTGGATATCAATAAAAGCATTTCACAGTTACCAAAGTACAGAAGTACCTCTTAACTACAATTTCACTTTCCATGATTTTGGTTATTCATGGTCAGCCATGTCCCAAAACATTACATAGGAAATTCCAGAAATAAATAAGTCATAAATTTTAAATTGCATACTATTCTGAGCAATACAATAATATCTCACATCTCACACCACCTATTCCATCCCACCTTTGTCCAGTGTATTAACACTGCAGATACTACCTTCCTATTAGTCACTTAACAGCAGACTTGGTTATCAGACCAATTGTCACAGTATCACAATGCTTGTGTTCAAGTAATCTTTATTTTATTTAATAATGAACCCAAAGCACAAATATTTATGAAAGAATATTATTATAATTGTTCTATTTTGTAATTGTAGTTGTTAATCCCTAACTGTGCCCAGTTTATAAATTAAACTTTATATGTATGTATATACGTATAGGAGAAATATCATATGTAAGGGTCAGTCTTATCTGTGGCTTCAGGTATCCACTGGGGTGTTTGGAATGTATCCCCTGTGAACAGGGGAGATTACCATAAAACTTGATTTATTTGCTTCCTCAGCTCTCTTTTTCTTTTCCTTACTAACCTCTTTCTCTCCTCTAGTCATCTCTTTGCTGACTGGATGGAAGACCCTAAGAAACATTTACCACCTTCGTTATGGGTATACATGGTACAACCATATCTATCTTTAACCAACTTCTCTTACCTTTGTTCAGAGTCTTCTTGTAGTCAATCACAGTTCCCAAGTGCAGGACCTGGCAGGTCACCTCCTTCCCAACCTGACTCTTGGCATCTTTGACCCGTAGGATGCTAGTGACAGATGTGGTCCCATTATGATGCAAAATACTCTCAGTACTATTCTCAATCCCTGACCCACTGACCTTCCAGGAGATCACAGGTGCTGGGCGGGCAGTGGCAGAGCAAGTGATGTTTAGTTGGTCTTCAAAGAAATTGTAGTCAAGGAATACTATGGGCTGTACTGGGACAAAAAAAAAATATATATGACCTACCATCAGTAAAGGACCTTCTTTGAGTTCTGAATTCTCCTCACAGAACTGAAAGAAAGATCATCACAGAAAGATGTGAAGATTAGACAGATAAGGTGGCACATCCCATCCCACTGGGGTTTTCTCAATTCTTCCTGTCTCATTACCTAGTCTGCAGAATGCAGGGTGACCTGGTCTAAACCTGTGATGGGAAAAACACTGGATGTTGTTTTCCTCCAGCAGAGTTGACTGGATGGACAGAAGATATTGAGAAGTCATGTGATACTCTTCTTTTCCCAAACAGGCCAAAGGATATTTTTTTCTCCTTTTGCAGGAGCAATCCAGCATCTCTGCCTTCTTTTGGGAGTTCACTTCAAATAGCTAGATTATAACTCCCAACCAGCATCTCCATATCTGTAAACTGCACCTACCAGAAGCACAACAGCAGATACAGAACAGAAAGCCCAAAGAAGGGTTGCTGCTTGGTGATAGCCATTTTATGCTTGAAGCTGGACCAGTGAACAAGCCACAGAGAAAAAACTTGGAAAATGCCTGCTTGGAAGATCTACACAAAACACAAACTAGGATGTCACAGCTCATAACCAGAAAAATCAAAGAATGACACAGTAGTTGGCAGGAGGACCTTGGAGATCTCCTGGTAGAGTTAAGGGAAAATAAGTGACTTATGAGAAAAAGATAATTTTCGGGCCAGCTGTAGCCTGTCTCCTTTTAAAAGTTCTCTAACTGATGACTTCATTTTCACTGGAATGTCTAATTTACCTCTGTCAAGGACTGCAGGCTGTTCTTTCTGTGTTTGGCTTTGGAGCCCACATGATAACTGTAGGAGAACACTAAAGTAAAAGCTGGTCTGTGCTTTTAGGCTAAAGGGCTGGGTAGATGGCAGAGGCCAGAGAGAGTAGAGCTGTGAAACCCCAGCTGCACCCAAAGAGGGCCCAGAATACAAATATCAATACACATTGGAAGAAGAAAGTTGAAAGTGAAAACAGGTAAACATGATTATGTGGCCCGACAAAATGCCAGGTTATCAAAGTGGCTTAGATGGAAGCTACAAGGTGTGGTTAGAAAGAGTCAGTGTGGAAGAGAACAGTATTGCTAGCTAAACGCTTCAGAGGAGTTTGGTTTTTCTGAGAAAAATTCAAAAGATTATGAGTAAGGGAGGGGAGTAGAAGAAAGAATGATGAGAGAAAAAAAGGAAGAGAAGAAAAAGGAACAGAATTGAGCAAAATAAGACAAATGAGAAAGAAGAAAAAAGAGATAGGAAGGATTAAGAGATTATGAACTAGAGGGAAGAAAGGAGGCAAGGAGGGGGATGGGCAGGCAGAGAATGAAAGAAAGATGGAAATAGAGAAGAAAGACTGACAATATTCTGCAGAGAGGCCTCATTACAGGCAAAATAAGTGAAAGAAACCTGTATTTGGCCTTGGCGTAACTTCCTTGCATTCTTACCTACTTAATTTTTTTTCTCCTATGAAAATCTTCTGTCATGCTTAAAGTCTCAGCTTTAAGATTCAATATTGAATATTAATGCTAATAATCCTATATAGGTTTGTCTTCTCTCTCCTAAAATCACCAAGAGTCCAACGCTCCAAAATTATACTTTATTTCTAGTTACTAATCGTTTATCTCAGCTGGGTGTCGGTAAAGAGGAAAGAAATCTCATTAAACTAAGCTCACTGGATTTTAAAAGAAAGCTTATTATCCAGTTATATCCCTAGCTGACATCATTTCTGACGTAAAGAGCCTCTGCTGTGTGTGCCCTTACCAATCCTAAAGCAGTTATCTTGAAGCAGAATGAAAGTACCACCACAACAGATTTCACGCTAGCCTAATCTGATTCTGTTTTTAAGTGCAAAAGGTTAAAGTTGTAAGGGGTTCTAGAGATAATTTAAGACTTCACATTTATTTTCCAGGCATAGAAATTCCACTGAAGATAGCAGATAGGACCAGTCTAGGGTCACATGATTGCTAAGAGCAAAGCCAGTTCTAAATCATATTACTGCTTATGGAGAATTTGTTGCTCTCACTGTCATCCTCAATTTTGTGTACAGGAAGATCTCTCAGAGAAAAGATAGTCTCAACCAAAGAACTCAGTGATTGCCATATGAACACTCTACAAAACTATAACAACTGCTACAGTAAACATGAAAAGCTAAGTGTCTCCTATTGAACTCTTCTGTGATTAGGAAACTAGACACTATAACCATGTTGCAAACATTCTTGGAAACAGTATTTTCCAGCAGAAACAATGGATACTCAGAGATTCTCACCATAGAGGGTAAGGCAGGCTGTTCCTGAGATCTTCCCAGAGCCAAAGGTATTGAAGAGACACATGTAACACCCTTCATCCTCCAGTGTTGTGTTCCAGAAGGTAATGGCTGATTTGTGGAATCCCAGCTCAGTGATGTTTACCCTGTCCTTATAGGCAGGCTGGACCACAACCCCATGGTTCTCACTGTAGGTGACCATGTTTTCTGGGCTTACAGCCTTCTTTTTCTGCCATGTCACAATTAAGATTTCCTGGGAAGTTTGCAGAGAACATCTTAAGGATGCAGGTGTGTTCAGCAGCTTTCTTTCATCCTGGGTCACCACTTGCACTATGGTACCATAAAAAAACCACATATTTTAAAACTGTAATACATACATACATGCACATATTTTTCTGGTAACAAGTAGAATGCAAGTTGAAAGTCAAAAATTTCAAAAATATAAAGAACACAAAAAACTCTTTACATATGTATGTGTTGGTAAATAAATATATGTTTGTTCAATTTTTAAAAGTAGAATAGCAGAATATAATAACAAGAATGAAAATGCTCATGGAGGAGAAAATTTGAAGACTCTTGTAGGCTGGAAAAGAAGTAGAATGAGTTTAAAGATGCAAAGTGCCAGACAGGATAGAAAGTGAGTTAGAAGCAAGGATCAAGAAAGGACCAAGTGGAGTGATCAATTTCAGTAAAGAACATGTAGCAATTCTATATATCCCCCCCACACACCTTACAAAGGAAAGAGGAAGCATAAAGATGTCTGCCTCTGGAAAGCAAAGTGAATACAGGCACATAAAGTAGAAAGATACACTGTACAGTACTCTGGGAGGCTTGTTGCTCAGACAAGACATTAAAGCTTTCACGCCCAGATGACAATCCATGTGTGCCCCATTTGCATTGGATGCTATGGCAATAGTTTCCTCTCCTTTTCTATGGAAGCCACCTACACCATTACATACAATTTAATGAGAACTCCTCCCATAATAACAAATAGCCCTTAGCAGAATAGATACCACTAATGACTAAAGTAGTAGGCAGGAAGTCCATGCAACAGAATTCTTCCAGAATGCACCTCAAAAGGATAAGGATATGAAAGATTCAAGAAAATAAATGATTAGGTTTCAATGTTTTAATATCAGTCCAAAAGCACTTGTAAAAAGGAGACAAAAGGAAGAATGGAAGATAAAAACACTGTAAGAAAGAAAAAATATTTTTCAAAATAAGGAAAGGAGCACTCTAAAATAAGATATATCAATCATGGACCTTCATGTACCCTAAAACCTTACTCAGAAATATATAAAGTAAAAACAAATAGAATTATAAAATACAATTTATAAAGACAAAATCACCATTGGTGAGCTTTACAATGTAATAAAATCAGAAATTTACACACTGCTTTTAACTTTTTAGTCAAAGTAGAAATCATATATTACTAAAACCAGATGACATGAGAGCATACAATGTTGTAAACCTATGTAAATGGGCAAAGCAATTCATAGAGGGACAAATTGAATCTCAATTACATTTACTAAAAAACAAGAGAGATTGAAAAATGAATATAAACTTACATCTCACTCTCTTACTCTCTCTTCCAAAATGCAGGAGTGAATTAATGAAGATAAAAGTACCAGTTAATGAAATGACACACCAAGGTAGATCTGATCAAAAACACTAACCCTTGGTTTTTAAGAGTAATACAATAGATAAATGTTAGCAAGTTTGAGTAGAAAAAGAAGGCTTCCCAAACAAACAACTCCCCAACAACACCAGGGACAAGAAGAGGGGCATGGAGACAGATCCTAGGCCTTGGTGCCCAGCTGGAGATGTAAGGACAATGTTCCCAGAAGGAGAGGGAGTGCTGGAAGAGAGTATCTGCTCTTAGGGGTTGAGGTTTCCTGCAAGCTGTTGAAATTTTGTATGGCAAAAATTTCAAAAAACTGTAGCTTTTAGAATGCAGAGTAGAAAGGAGATCAAGACTAGTTTTCAACACTCGTGTGATTTCTTTTCTTTTTTCCCCCTACTTGTCTATGGAAATATTTAGTGGAAAGTTTACAAGGGTGGAGGGGGTGAAGGGCCCACAGGGAATGAGGAAAAAATAAGGATCAAGATACATCATGTACAGGTGCAAACACCCAATGATAAATGTAAACGTATTGTATACCTAAAATGTACCAATAAAAGAACTTAAGAATAATAAAAAAAGAAAGTTTACAATTCTTTGCTACTTTGTGGAATCATTCTGATTTCACCTGTCAGGTGGTAAATCCTGTGACAGATGCTGTGGAACAGGGCTGTGGATAGGCATGAAGCCCGCTCACCCATAGCCACCATTGCCCTGCCTTGTTGCTGGGCAACACCAAAGTGAAAGTGATTTTTAATAAAAGGACATCGGGAAAGGGAGCAGTGATCTCTCACAGAACTGAGCAAGAAGCACTAGGAAATTCAGCAGATAAACAGATGACACAGGCACTTTTTTTTTGCACGGTAAAGTGAATCTATATACCCTCTGTATTTCATAATTTTCTGTATTTTTTATAAAAAGATGACAAACCACATTTTAAGGCTTACTGACAGATTATCTTCCAAACGGACTGTATCCATTTATACTTCTCCAAGCATCCCTTTATCCTTATAAAGGCAGGGGATTATTATTTTTAAGTTTTTCAATTTGGTGGGTGAAAAAAACATTATATTTTAATTTGTAGAGGATATTTTCCTTCAGTCTGGCTCATTTATGGAAACAGCTTCTAAATATCAAATTGTTGTTCTGCATCGAAAGCAGAGAATGTGGAGAGTGGCAAGAAGCACTCCCACTCTTCCAAGAAAATCCCATGCTTCAGCAATTCACCCAGACAAATAGAAGGAGCACAGCACAAGCAGTAGTGGCCAAGCGGTCACCACAGACACTGCGTGTGCTGGACTCTGGGTAGGGAGGTTGAACGTCTTTACCTTGTGCTGTGCACAACACCACCACTGCCGTGCCCCAGATCAGGCTGCAGGGAGACAGATAACAGAAGGGCCTCCTGAACACCTGAAGACAGAAAGCAAAGTACAGAAACGGGGTTTGCATTTGGATAAAGCCAAGGCAGCGTCATTCTAATTGCTGCTTAAGATAATGTGGTAGTTAAGTTTTTACCCACCAGAGAACTTTGGTTTTCTGGAAGCAGAGCCAGAAGCTATAAATGGTAAAAAAAAATAAAATAAAAATAAAAATAAATAACAGAGAGCTGAGGATGTGGGGAGGTAACAGGCATGGTACGGCTTTTTCATAAAAGCGAAATACCATGAAATTTGAGGACTCATCTCTAAAGCTACCATTATCAAGAGAAAGGTCTGGAAGACTACTGGGGAAATAAAGGCCTTAAATAAATACAGAACACCCAGGGAGCACAAATGGCAGAGAGCACCCTTCCCAAAGAGTTCACATCTGTCAATATTAAGAATGTAACTGAAGGGGAAAATTCGAGAACACGTGACTGCCTTGAGCGTTGTTGAGGCACATTTCCCAGCAAATTATATATGATTGGCACAGCTGAAAAAAACTAGTACTGGCTTTGATTTAATTTTGTCCTTGTTGCTTCATTTCCATGTGTCTTTACAGAAATTCTTTGCCTTCTTACAAGCAATGGTGCTATTTAAGGGAATGTTGCTCAGCATCATCTTGCTGTAAAATGAAAAGGCAGGATATAGGACTTAGCTGAACCTTTCTCTAGTTGCCTCATGAATCTCTTCACTTTGTCTACATGTGTGTCATTCTCAGGAAGACCGGCAAGAAAAGTAACTGTTCTTCATATTTTTTTTCCACTTTTTCTATAATAAAGATATATAAGATATGTAAGTTTCTCTGTACTTTTTTAAAGTACAAAGTATTGTTTGTTTTTCTAGATGTAGTCTTGGCTTTTTCCTGTGGTAGGCAAAGTGAAATTCCACCAGGCTCTGCCAAGATGCATACGCATCAATCTCCCTACTTCCGGGGGCCAAGAAAAAGGCTTCCTTTTCAGAATGCAAACTGTTGGCTATCCACAGACATGAGTTGGTCTCTTTCTCTTCTCCCATCCTGAAAAACACTTATCTCCCCTTGAGTCAGAAAAGCTACTTTCTCCAGCACCCTGTATTCTTCCAGTGAACTCTTTTTGGCAAGAATTTTCTGTTCTTAGTCTTTTAGCATTTAGGCTTTTAAAATTGAAATGGTTCAGCTCAAGTTATCATGAAAGTTTGACTTCTGAAACTCAGTTTTTGCTTTTCTGAGGTAGTATTTCTCTTCTAAGATGATTCACAACTGTATGATTTAAAGATCAGTAACAAAAAACATATCTGGAATCAAAACACATACAAGATAATACATCAAAATTATATTCCAACTTATATCTCCCATAAGAGTGACTAAACTACTAACAGAAACAATACTAGCATTTATTGAACACTTATTATACTTATTATGTATCCAATAAGCTATTAGAATTTCTTTAAATACTTCATATGCACCTACTAAGGAGGCATTATAATTATTATCGTTTCCACAATGAAGAGTATGAGGCACAGAGAAGAACATTTCTAAAGTCACCAGAAAGGAAGCAGCACAGCAAAGATTTCAACCCAGGCAGTCTGGCTCCAGAGCTCACAACCATCAATGCTACATTTGTCCTCCCCTGTGTGGAAGGGACTATTGGTTTTAAGAGTTAGACACATAAATATAAATTATGAATGATGTTGTTATTGCCTATGACCAAATCACTATTGCAGGGGATTATTAAACGCTTATTCACACAGTACTCCTTGCCTCATTGCCCTAGAAAAATATGTTAAATTCATTTTGAAACTGCTATCTGATTAACATTTAACCAGATTTCCACAGAGCCACACAATCTCTGGCAGCCACTGCGTAATTATCTAGAGCCATTACTAATTACAATAAATAAAAGCATCTCCTGTCCTGTCGCACTTGAGTGTTGGCTCCTCATTGCCACGTCAGCTGCTCAGCCCCTATACACATGCCCTCTAGTCTTGGTCGCTCTGCTTTCCTTGCACACAATGCTTCACTTCACCATACTTTCAGTGTCTTGCTGTCACTGAGCTTCCCTGCTGAAGTGCCTTTATGTTTTCCTTCTGTCCCAAATGTTCTCAGTTGAATGAATAAAAGCAAAAGAGTTAATGAATACATTTATGAATGACACCAAACTCATCATTTTACCCAAAGCAACTTCTCTTTTAGACTTTTCTTTCCAAGCACTCAAATGATCCTGGACTTCTTACTCTCCCTCTTACTAAGTACATGTAATTAGTTACTACCCAGTCAGGGCTTCCATGTGCAGCCCTGTTCCTTATCTTCCTTGCCCTAGCCTCAGCTTGTAATACTACACATTTGGGCAATTGTCTTCTACCTGATCTTCTACCAATACTTCTATTTATTCAATCATAGATCATCTCTATGGAGTTTGATCTCATGCAAGCCACTGTGCTACATGCTTTGGAGACAGTGGTGGATAATAAGGCAGATGCATCCCCCCACCATTAAATTGACTATCTAGCTTATGTACTTATTTACATATCATTAGACAAATTAATTTTCCTTAAATTTTTCTTTGTACAAGTTATCAAAAAAACCTATGATAGTGCCTTGCTTTATGGAGAAAATAATTCAAAATTTCTAGCCTAATTTTTCTTTTCCTGTAAATTCATCTTTTGCTGCTTATCTACATATCCCCTATTTGCAAGCCAGCCTGGTCCACTTCCAAAGGCACCACCCAATTTCCTGCCTTGCCATTTTTTATTAAACCATTCCCCTACATGAGTCTTGCTTTTTAGGTCTTGCTTTTTACAAGCCTAATTTCAGTCATGTTGTTATAAGTGATCTTTTCCTCTGAAATGCTTTTGCTTAGGGTTGTTAGAACTGTTAAGTGTTCTAAGCAGATCTGAGCCTCCTCCCCATGTGTCTAAGGGGACTTACCTCCCTTTGTCCACTCTCCTACTCCTTCTAGATCTTGTCTGAACCCTTCAGCCCTCTGTCTGACTTGAGAGAAGATGATCTCTTTCAAAGTGCAGACCACTGTATGCCCAGGGCCTTTAGACACTGCCCCCAACATTCCTGTCACCTATCAGGCACCATCTACCCCAGTTTGTTATTCTGTTCACTCTCTTTTGTCAGTGGGGAAAATCTCATACTAAAATATGACCTGATGGTTTTGACTATACTTAATTCTTAGGGTTGGGACATATACCATTTGGCAATAGACAGTCTCTAATTTGACTCAGTCTGCTTTTTCTATTAGTCAACAAGAACTTCAGTATGCACCAAATCCTGTTGTTTTAGCAGGATATCTTGAGCATTCTCTCTTTGCTCCATCCTGTTGCCACAACAAACCTAGGACAGGAGCCCCATTTTGAATGTATATGTTAACAGCTTTGCTTAGTCCTAGCTTCTGATACTATAACTTAAAGCTCATTTCTAAACTATTGGACCATAATGACTTAAATGACCTTAGCTGAGGGTCAGAATTATTGTGGAAGAATGGTATTCCATCTGAGAGAATCTCATCACCTCATTCTCAATGTTCGCCTTAACTAAGCTTTGTTTTTGCCATTCCTATTAGATATGATGGTTTCTCTGCTAGAGATCATTTTTCCCCAGTACTCTAAACTAGGTATTTTTGATTGTTTTGAAATTTCTTTGGGATTTCTATTTTCTTAAGAGATCCTTCTTCTTGAGGGCTTAGGATCAGAGAGTAAAGGCAGAATCTCCATTTGCCACACGGATTTCATTTTCTTGCCCTATGAGAGCACCCCAATTTTAATATCCTCCTTCCTTCTCACTGTTTGCACTTGTTAGTTCTGGTTAGCACATGCACTTTTTAAAAAAATCCCTTGAGTAATAGCTATTACCTAAAGCTTAATAGGGAAAAGGTTACAAAAGAAGAACCAATCCAGTTGATGATTCGTGAACGTTAACCTCATTATGTAACCTTGGTTTTTTTGTTTTTGTTTTTGTTTTTTTGTATTAAATTCTTTTATTGGTACATTGTAGGTATACAACACAATTACATTTCTCATTGGGAATTGTACCTTTACATAATGAATCTTGATTCTTATTTTTTCCGCATTCCTAGCCCTCCCTTCACGTCCTCCACCCTTCCCTATTTACAAAGACTTTATTTCCATTTTTTCCATTTCTCATCATTTTTTCCTTTCCCTTCTTTCCTTTCCCCTGTGCCTCCCACTAGCCCTACCCCTTTGGACCTTTTATTCCTATTTTACATTATCGATTATTCATTCTAATAATTGGTACATTTTAGGTATACAATATAATGACATTCATCATTGGAAATTTGCACCTTTACATAGTCTCTCTTGGTTCTTGTTTTTCACCCTTGCCCAGCCCTCCCTTCAACCCCTCCAGCCCTGTAAATAGGGAGGGTAACCTTGGTTTTTAATGAAGAAAACATTACTAACCTTCATAGACTGGGATAGAGATTCACTTAGTAAACACTGACAGTCATCTTCTCTTGGGGTATAGCTATGAAGAAAAGAGCCCACTGTCCTGCTCAGCGAGATCAGTGAGATGATGAACCTTGGAATCAGGTTTGTCTAAGCTCCCCTGGGGGCTTCTCAGACCTTGCAGGTGGCCATGTGTGTGGAAACACCAGAGGTGTCATGGTCTGGGTGAAGGCATGGTTCTTCTCCAGTACCCCTTGTAGACTCTCCATCACAGTCTCTGACTCAGTGTTCCTCCAGGTCTTTTGGGACAAATATTCTGGAAGGGATGATGTCTCACTTCCTCATGACCCATCCCCAGGGTCAGCCTACCTCTTAGTGTTCTCTTATCTTCAACCACAGATTCCCAATCACTTTGACATTCTTCTACCTAGACTTCATGGAGTGCCATCATGGTGCACACTGATATTCATCTGTGTGGCATAAGTTGTTTGTTTGTTACATTCATAATGCTACAGGGAATTAAAATTAAATCATCTCAATGTGTCTTTAGGATTAATTACAGCTTGCACACGTATTTTTATTATTTGATAGTAAGTGTATTGTGAGCATTCTATGCTCACCTTGTCACTTTTCTTGTCTTTACAGTTCTAAGGCCAACAACAAAGTCATTGCTCTTTAGGAAGTCAGAGATGATGGTCTATCTGAAAAGATGCAGCCTACAACCCACCTGCCCCATTTCTTATCCCATGCTCTTTTTTTATCCACTCGCACTACATTGACTTCAAACACTTAGTACATGCCTAGGTTTAACAAAGGTGTTCATGTCAAAGTGGGCCAGATGCTACTTGAAATTTCCCCAGTCTTACTAAGACTGTTCCATCCTATTTTACTGTGTAGGAAAGTTGGAAAAAATCCAGTCAAATGCTTCCTCTGATTCTGCTGTCAGGACCTGACACATGTCATATTCTCAGCTAAGGCAGCTGTAGACAGATATTGATATCCTACTTCCATGTCATTTTTTCCTTAACCATTATGTGTCCCTTACACATGGAAATCCAGGCCCTAGCAGAGACTATGACAAGAAACTGCAGACTGGATTGGGTTTCACAGTGAAAATCTGTGTTTAGGACAAGAGGAAAAAAGCAGACACATCCCGAAACACAAGACTATGAACTGGAAGCCAGCAGGATTAAGAAACAAAGCAATTTAGGGCAAAGGAATGAGAAGAATGCCTCACTATTAGACATACACATTTATTTTATACAATGTTTTCCATCTAGTCCATGTAGAATAATTGAAAATACTACCATCCTAAAAACCAGAGGATTCATATTTTTCAGGGAGGTGATCTAGGAGGCATTGTTTCATGACAGCCAGGAGGGCAAACTGGTAGACCTAAATTTTGCCTAAAATAAACACTAGATGTGTGAGGTAAGTCAGATTTTTTACCTCTCTGAAACTTGGAGAAAATAATAGTATCAACATCATGGTTAAAGAGACTAAACGAAGTACAGGTAGGAAATCTGAAATTCATAGGCACAAAATATAAAACTTCTAAGGGTAGTTATGATATCACAGTGGAAAATCCCACAACTGACCTCACATGAAGACTTGTAATCATAGAGCAGGTACACTAAAAATATGAAATTATCTCCAGGCCATGTGTATAAGTTTCTATATAAAACATGAATGAATTTTGTGTTCATACTTGGGTCTTGTACCCAAGACACTTTGTATGTGTAAATATTCCAAAATTAAAAAGAAATCTGAAAACACATCCCATTCCAAGCATTTTGAATAATGGATACTGTTCCTAGAACAGTTTCTGACATAAATAAGCACCAGTTCAATGCTGCTCTTATCCAACAGGGATATGATGAGAATTAAGCCCCTGAAGGACTTAGTACCATGCCCAAGATTTAACAAATATCAAAATGCATTAGATAGCTAAAAAATTAATCAATACAGAAAGAAAGGGTCCAATCATGAAAAAGAAAAACAAATCCATGTATAACCCTTGTCATTTAGACCAGGTTGACAAAGGCTTGAGTCTTACCTAACAGCTGCCTATCTGGCAGGTATACATACCTCTTTCCCTGAAAGTTTCTAAGTTGAAATTTTCATCCCATCACATGTTGCCACCTGGGTTTGGAAAAGGTGAACCTCTCTGCCTGTTTTGTTGCTTGCAAAATAGGTTAAGAGTTCCCTGTTGGTGGATAGTTGAGGATTAAGAGCATCTAGCCTGTCAGCAGTAAATACTACCTTACAGACCACCATTATCCATTGTTAAGATAAGGAACTACAGTAACTGGTTGTGTGGTCTTTCTAGTCAGCTGGAGGTGAAAATATCACCTCGAGGCTTTAATTGTATTTGGATTTTTTTTCTAAGCATACCAACAGGATGTATGCTTGATTTTTTTCAACGTAAACAGATCCTGAATAAACAAAATGTCTTCTCTGGGTATCCTGAAATAACCCTTCAATAAAACAGTATGGTCAGCGTTTCAAGCCTCTCTGAAGCGTTTGAGCAGCTTTGTGGATGCTTCCTAGCTTCCCAAGGAGAAGCCATGAGGGGGCAGAGACTGAGCACCTACCGGGAAGGGCCTCTCCTGGAGCAGCCAGCACAAAGCCAGCGCTCCATCCATCCCCTCCTTGGAGCGATTTATTGGGGGTTGAGCTCTCCCCTAGGGAGCTGGAGCCTGCGGGTGGAGCCCCCTAGAGGCCCTGCTGCGGCCCGGCCCAGTTCCTGGGACTGAGAAGGAAGCCGCTCCGAGCCCCTGTCCGCAAGCATCCTTTCTGGGTCGGAGAACCAGGAGCCGCCAGTAACCTAGCCTTTGGAAGTCAAGGTCCGCTTCTCTGCACGGGAAAGCGCCGCGCTGGAAGCTGGAAGCCAGGACGGACGCCGAGGACCCAGCTCCGGATCAGATAGTGGAGGACCGCGCTCCCTGCCGCAGCCCAGTCCCGCCCCCGCCCCGAAGCGGGATCCCCGCTCACCGGCCTCTCCATGCTCGCTTGGCTCCTACAGCTCAGACGGTCACAGTGGCTAGAAAACAAGCCTGGCCAGAGCAGGCTCTCTGTAGGCTGGAGAGCTAATGAAGCGTCACCTGCTGCTCCGCCCTCCCCCCCCCGCCCCGGCCGGGCATGCTCAAAAGGCAGATCTACTGTAGGCCATCAGAGATGCTCTTTAGGACCCCCAAGTAAGTGTGTGTGTGTGTGTGTGTGTGTGTGTGTGTGTGTGAACTTTTCTGAGATAGAGGAAACTGTCTGTAAAAGGAAATGGGTCAGAGGTAGAAAAGATAGATGAGTTGTTTAGTTAAGCGCGTTTTGTAGAAGTATCAAATACTTTTAAGTTGAATTTAACCAATGGAAACTTTTTATATATAAAAACCTTACATTTATTATTTTAAATTTAAAATTATATATTCAAGAAATCAGTTTTGTAATGACTTCTTTCATGATGTGATCAGTATTTCTCTTTACTGAATTTTCTTCTATTTCCATTAATCATGAGGATTTTTTAAAAATCAGGTTCCAGAGTTCTTGGGTCTTAAACCAACAAACAAAAAAGACATGGATTAATGAATGCTCACCTCCTAAAGCCTGGTTTGTTTCACTACATCCCACTGACAAGGTGCTGCACAAAGCCTTCACTGTTCGATCCACAGCGCAGCCTCCTTCTCTACACAACTGTGCATGTTTACCACGGGTAATGCACTCCTACCTCAAATTTAATAGGCTAAGCTTATGTGTTTTTAAATTTGATGTGAAGACCTCACAGAGTATGCCTTCATTTGTGCCTGGGTTCTTTCACCCAACTGTAGATTTGAAAAATTCATCTGTGTCATTGCATATATAGTAGTTGTACTTCATTCTCATTGTTGTGTGGCATTCTATTCTATAAATATTGTATATCTCACAACTATTTACTTATTCTACTGTTTTTAAAGATTATTTTCTTTATTAGTACATGTTTGCAGTACATAATGTTTACCTTCCTGCAATGGAGTTGGAACATGTATATAACGCATTTTAATTCCTTTATTCATCCCCTTTCCTCCCCCACCCCTTAATAGACATTTGTTTCTTTTCCAAATTGAAATTTTTTTGATAGTAGTATTATGAACACACTTATAGATGTTTTTTCATAAGCATATGTACACCATTCTAATAGATTACCTTTGATTTTTTGCTATATATTTTCCTTGCTTTATTTTTAAGTTCTCTTCATACCTTTTTTAAGTAGGTAGATAATAATTTACTGTTTCTTGATTTGTTAAAATCTGAAAGTCTTGGTCCAGGATTTTATAAAGATTGGATGAAAAAAATGTTAAAAATATCATTCTCAGAAAATTTATTAAAGGTTCTCCTTGAAAACATTTTCTAAAGCATCATTCTAGTAAATGGAAAAATGAATCCAACAAGAGGTTACAAGATACACAGAAAGGATAAATAATTGATCAAAAATGTATTATTGCCTAATAACGAAAGGTTACAAAAATTATATCTCTGTAACAAACAAGTCATATCTACATGGAAGAGAGATATAGGTTAGAAAATGAGATCATAAGGGAGAAGAAGAATCATGTTAAAATATGCATGTTGGAAAATTCAAGAAATTGACATTAAAATTATGAGCATATGTACCATCCTTAGTAAATTAGGAGAAAACTGCAGGATAATAACCACAGGTGTTACTCTTTTAAACTAACAAAAGAATAGTTTTAATGAATGACAGGATAGGAAAAAATTACAAAAACAAAATATTAAAACCAGGAATGGAAAAAAAGCTTTTTTACATCAGGAATTACAATATTCAAATAGCTAGAGATTTGGGACACAGAAGAATGAATAAAAGAGGGGGAAAATTCCCTCCCATCATGAAGATAAAAAATAGCTTTACAATTCTTTATAAAAGAAGAAATTTGCTTTACTTTAATAATACTTTGCAGAAAAATGGTATTTAAACTTCTTGGACAGATGTAAAGGAGTACTCAGAATTAATATATTACATTGATTATATTGGTTACTGATGTTGAGCAAAAGAAGCAGTGTATTAAACAAAATGAGAAGAAAGGGCATAATAAAACTAAAAGCAGGTATCAATAAAAATGAATAAAAACTGAAAAAATATGTAACTTTTTCTAGAGGTCAATTCAACAAATGTGTGGCATGATTTGCTATCTCAACAGAAGATAAAAATAAACACTATGTGGATTAAAAAATAAGGGCAAATACTGATATAACAGGGCCCGGGATTTAGCCCAGTGGTGCTGCACCTGCCTCACAAGCACAAGGTCCTGAGTTTGATCCCCAGTACCAGAACAACAACAACAAAAAGACAATCCTATAAATGTAATAAACATTTGAAAACATACAAAATAAATACATTTCTGAAGGTGACAAATTGGCCCTAAAATTTTTAAAAAATTTTAAAATTAGTAGTTTCATAGTTAATAACTATGAAAGCAGTTCAGCCAAAATTAAAGGTTGCCTATGCAAAATAAAGTATAGATTTCTAAAGGTGGTAAAGAATAGAAATCACTACCTTAAATATATGTTCCCAAAAGGAGAAATATATAATCATGTATTTCTTTCTTTGAAGCTTGTGTTACATGAATTTCAAAGCCAGGAAAGGATAATACCAACAAATGAAATTATTATCTTATTTTACTTACAAATATACAGCAGAAAAATTCCAGAATTGTTTGGCATTAGAAAATTTGTCAATATATTTTCTTATACTATGGAAAATACAAATGACTATCTCAATAAAAAATTTATTTCTTAAGTCTAACAACCTATTTATAATGACACCAAAGGAAACAGGAATAATAAACATTTCCTACCTTCAATAATATGCTTAATGTTCAAATTTCATCAAATGTAATACTTAGTAGAGAATTTTTATACATTGTCTTTAAATTCAGAAACAAGCAAAAGATCTTGGTTATCCTTGTTATTTAACATTAAAAAAGAGATGTAAAGATTGAAAAGGAAAAAGTCAAGCCACTCTCTTATTTGTAAGAGAGAAGAACATCAGCATGGAACTGTCAGAATCAAAAGAAAATTTTGAATCACAGAGTTTACCATGGTTTACAAATACAAAGTAACATTCAAAAATCTGAAATTTCCCTGAACAACCAGCCAGATTTCATTTGAAAACAAAAAAGATAGTATTCATTATAGTGAACAAATAAGTACCAAGGAATTAGCTCAGCA